CGCCGACGGCGTGAAGCTGCGCACGCTGATGAATCAGCCGAAGCAGTTGCTGCGCGAGCACAAAGTGCAACCGACGCTGATGCCGCCCGCCGTGAAGGCGGCGTACACGCAGGCCAGCCAGATGTGCTTCGAGGGGTGAGTTTCGAGCCTGGCGAGGCGCTACCCTTGAGGGTGGCAAGGGGGAGGAGGAGGAGGAGGAGGAGGAGGAGGAGGAGGACCAGAGAGAACTCAAGGTGCATCTGCGGTGTTGCCATACACCCCCCCCGTCCCATGCACCCTCCTCAGAGGCCCATGCAGGCACGAAGGGGGTGGATGAGGAGGCGAGGGGCTAGAGGATGGGGGTGGCGGAGGAGGAGGAGGAGAAGGAGGAGGAGAAAGCTTTGCCGTGAGCGCTCGGTGGCCGCGACGTGCGGCGTGCGCACATGGCCGTTGAATGCCAGCGCCCGCTGCTGCACTCTGGTCTTGGCGTAATTCAATTCGACGGCTGCCGCCGTGTTTTCGCCGCCTGTTCAAATCATGTATTGGCTTGTCGTCTGTGGCAGGCCGCTCGATTCTCATGGGAGTGGCACGTGTATCCGCAGCTGGTCGCCTCGAAATTCTGCCCAGGGAGCGTTGCATAGCATATCCAGATATTATAGGTGACGCAACCACGAGCACAGTTACCTTTGGGATTGACAGTGCGTGACCTTCGAAATGCATGCTCGGCCCCATGTAACGAGATGTGATGCGGAGTCTCCCGCTACTGTCCTGTGAAAACGCTTTACCGCGTTCAGTGCCAACCACCGCCGCCATTACAGTTGTTTCCTTCTTAGCGTAAGCGCCCACTTAACCTCCTCTAAGCTGCGTTATAGTACCTTCTCCGTGTTCCTCTCTCTCCTTGCGCTTTCAGCTCTCGCTTTCGATCGACATGTTTCTCTTATTCGCCTCCCCTTGTCTCCTAACGCTGATGGGCTTTCTGTGCAACCCTGCCATTCTTGCTTCTGTGACAACGTCACTGCCGTTTTTTTTGTACATGGATTTTGGCGTTTCTCGTTTTGGCTTTTTTCAATAGTTTCCTAAGGGTTTTTGGAGGGTTTTTTGAGAGAGTGCAAAATAGCTCGTTTTAGGGTTTTTGGAGGGTTTTGGCTGTTTGGCCTCAAACCAGAGTCTAGCGGACCATGGGCAACACAAATCTATATATATATATATATATGTATATTATATAATATATATATATATTATATATATATATATATCCCACTCGGCGCGCCGCGCGGCGGCGCCTCGGGGGGGCGGGGAGGGGAAACATGTTCCACTCGATGCCAGAATTTTGAGATCGTCTGCTCGGATCGGCCGCACAGACGCATTCAGATTTCGGAATTCCAGGGCAAGCCCGCGCGGGCCGACGGGCGCGCGGAGCGGCGGCGCCACGGGGCGAAAAGACATTGCCCCGCTCGACGCGCCACGCGGCAACGCGCGGGGTGGCGGGGCAGAACTGATACTCTACGCGACTTGTCGAGTGGCAGCGCCGAGGGGCGGACAGAAATGCGAATCCACCCTTACTCGCCGCGCGGTAACACCTCGCAGGTGAAATAGACTCCATTATGCCCCTAGCGCGGCAACGCCGCGGGGAGGAATATTTAGCACTCCGCTCGACCGGCCGCGCGGCAGCGCCTCGGCAGGGCGGGGGGGGGGCGCGTTCAGTTCGATGCCCAAGCTTTATCGCCTGCTCGGATCGGCCGCACTGACGCGCTCATATTCTTCGCGGGTTGACGGGCGCGCGGAGCGGCAACGCCGCGGGGCGAAGAGAAACTGCCCCGCTCGACGCGCCGCGCGGCGGCGCGCGGGGAGGCGAAGCACAACCATCACTCCACTATACTCGTCACGTGGCAATGCCGAGGGGGCGGGCAAACGTTCGAACCCACTCCTGCTCTGTCGCGTGGCAGCGCCTGGGGGGGGGAGCACATAGCACTGCGCTCTACCCACCGCTCGACAGCACCTTGGAGGCGAAGAAAGATCCCACTCGACCCCTCGCGCGGCAACGCTGCGGGGGGGGGGGGGGGGGGCGGGTGGCGTTCCACTCGACTCGCCGCGTGGCGACGCCGCCGAAGAGGGGGGTGGCGACATGTAGCATTCCACTCGGCTCGCCGCGTGGGCAGGGAGGGGGCGGTAGGGAGGGGGGGGGCGAAACGATGCTGCACTCGATGCCCATATTTGGAGATTGCCTGCTCGGATCGGCCGCGCTGGCGCATTCAGATTCCTCAGTTCCAGGGCAAACCTGCGCGGGTCGACGGGCGCGCGGAGCGGCAACGCCACGGGGCGAAAAGAAACTTGCTCCGCTCGACGCGCCACGCGGCAACGCTCGGAAAGCGAAGCCAACATGTTGCTCCACTCGGCTCGTCGCTCGGCAACGCCGAGAGACAACGCTGAGAGACGGACGACAGAGCGAATCCACTCCTACTCGCCGCGTGGAAAGTAACACCCGGAGGGGCGCGAACAAATGGCATTCCACTCTGCTCGCCAAGCTGCCTCGGCGGCGAAACGAGGAAACAACGCAACCCCTATCGTGGTAACGCCGCGGGGAGAAACGTATATCATTCCGCTCGACTCGCTGCGTGGCAGCGCCTCGGAGGGCGGGCGGGGGGGGGGGGGGCAAAAAATGCTACGCTCGACGCTCAGATTTGGAGATCGCCCGCTCGAATCGGCCGCATTGACGCATTCAGATTTCCGAATTCCAGGGCAAGCCCGCGCGGGCCGACGGGCGCGCGGAGCGGCAACGCCACGGGGCGAAAAGAATTTGCCCCGCTCGACGCGCCACGCGGCAACGCGCGGAAAGCGAAGCCAACCTATTGCTCCACTCGACTCGTCGACGCTTGGCAACGCCGAGAGGCGGACAACAGTGCGAATCCACTCCGACTCGCCACGTGGCAACACCTGGAGGGGCGCGAGCAAATGGCACTCCACTCGACTCGCCACGTGGCCCTGGAGGCGAAAAAAGATTCCACTCCACTCCTTGCGTGGCAACGCCGAAGCAAAACTACTATTCTACGCTAGTCGTGTCACGTGACAACGCAACGCCGAGGGGCGGACAGAAATGCGAAGCCTCTCCTACTCGCCACGCGACAGCACCTGGGGGGGTCGACAAAATAGCACTCCACTCTACTCGCCACGTGGCAACGCCTTGGTTGCAACAGAAATACTCCACTCTGCCCATGTCGCGGCAAATTCGCGGAAAGCAGCATAAAGCATTCCACTCGACTCGCCGCGTGGCAACGCCTCGGGGGAAGAAAACGCATGCCCCATTTGATTTTCAGATCGCCTGCGCGGATCGGCCGCACTAGCGCACTCGGACTTCTCAACTCTAAGGGAAGCTTGCACAGACCGAGGAGAGGACGAGGATGTGCATCCCCCCTTTCGTTCCTCTTCCCCTCTTCCTTGATCGGCGTCCCTTTCCACCTCGTCCCCTTTCTGCACCCTTTTCATTGTCCTCCACCTCTTCCCTGCTCTTCCGCCCTCGTCCTCCGCATCTCGGAGGGGAATCCTCGCTTGTTTTTCTGATTCTGGAATTCGGGGTGCTAGGCTTCGCGGCCGCCGGGGATTCCGTGTTTCGCCTGCGAGTTCCGCGTTTCGCGGATGTGCGCCGACTGGGTTTCGACTCAAACGATTCCGGGCTTGGAAGCGATTCCCGGTGTCGATTGTCAACCGGGAAGGGAAGTGAAGCACGCCCTGTTGCCTCCCCCTCTCCCGCGCCGGGGGGGGGGGGAGGGGAGGGTGCACCCCCTTGTCCCCCGCCCCCCCTTTCGTATCCGGGGGGGGGGTGCTCCCCCTTTTCCGCCCCCGCCTCAGCATGGTTTAGCGGGGGGGCACCTCTTTGCACCTCCCCCTTTTGTGTGCGGGGGGGGGGTCTCCCCGTTTTGCGTCCCCCCCCCGGCGTCGTTTTCGTTGGGTATCGTTTCATCTCGTATTCACGGGTGGACTGGGCCTCCCCCCTCTCAGTGCCACGAACCGCTTTCTCCAAAATATACGAACGTGCTCCCTTATAGGTTTCCACCAGAGACCGTCGAATGCGAACGCTCCTGCGGATTATCGTCGAATACTATGGTCAAGTGGATCTTCTGCCTTCACATGTTCACGATTCATTGCAAAAGCGCGGGTGGGATGCGACCATTTATTGGCCTGCCCCCTGTTTTCAAGGGTTGGGTAGGCCTCCAGCCTTCTCGGGGTCACGAATCACCACACGAAACACAGGGGGCGTGTTCCCCCGAGCGGTTCCCACCGAAGACCGTCGAATCCGCGAATCCGAAAGTTTATGCGGATCAGGCTCAAGCCGGCTTTAGCCGCTCAGTATTGTCTTTTCCCTTGCTGCGTTACTGTGCACACCGGCGCCCCAGTGCCAGGGCAGACAACGTTGAGTCCCTCAAGACAGTGGCTGGATCGAACTCCTGGCTAGCCAGCGGCCCTCCTGGCTGGCGAGCCAGGAAACAGGGCAGGGTGAGGATCACGACGCGTCGGTTTGTTTTCGGCCATCAACTGACCCAACCGATCCTCGCGCCCACCCCATTGGACTCAATTCTCTGGTATCCTCTGGCCCTGTTTTTGGATACAAGGAAGTTGCGGCATTGTGGAAGCAGGCGCGCCAGATTAGATCTCAGACAAACAGAGGGTGGTAAGAACAGTGACTACAGACAAGTAGACTCTTCTTCCGACGCCGCCGACGGCGACCACGACCACAACGCCGACGTTGACGCTTTCGACGACGCCGTCGCCGACGACGACTAGAACAACAACTACGAGGACGCCAATAACATTGACGACGGCGACGACTACGACGACGCTGCCGCCGACGAAGCCGACGACACAGACGGCGCGGAGAACGACCACGACAAAGACGCCGCCAGCGTGGCCGACGACGGCGGCTGTGACGACGACAACGGCGCCGATGGCGCCGACCGTGCTGACGGCGACTGATCACAACGACGGTGGCGGCGGGGCGGCGGCTGAGACCCCCCGCTGATCCGAAGGCCAAAACGCCGACCAGGGGCGCCTGGCCCCCGCCAAACCTCTTTGCCGCCGCCGGCCTGTGGTTGGAGGAGGAGGAGGATCGGTGGTGATGGTGAACATGATTATTATGATGATGGTGATGATGATGTTAACGATGACTGTGACGGTGATGGTGAGGACGAGTATGTTGGTGATGATGAGTTGCGACAATGATAATTATGTTGATGATGGTGATGATGATGATCATGGTTATGATGATGGTGATGATGAGGACGACTATGGATGATGATGCTGATACTGATGCTGATGCTAATGATGATGGTGATGGTGATGGTGATGATGGTGGTGATGGCGTTGATGATGATAATAATGATGAGGATGATGATGATGATGATAATGGTGGTGGTGTTGATGATGATGATGATGATGATGATGATGACGCTGTCGCTGGTGATGCTGCTGCCGCTGCTGCTGATGATGATGATGGTGATGATGGTGCCGATGATGCTGATGATGCTGATGATGATGATGGTGATGATAATGCTGACGATGACGACGACGACAGCGATGGATGATGACGATGATGATGCTAGTGGTGATCAGGATGATGGTGATAATGACGATGCTGATGATGATGATGATGGTGATGATGGTGGTGGCGATGATGGTGATGACGATGTTGCTGGTGATGATGCTGCTGCTGATGATGATGAGGTTGACGATGATGCTGATGCTGATGATGATGAGAAGGACGATGAGGATGAGGAGGAGGAGGAGGAGGAGGAGGAGGATGCTGATGATGCTGATGATGATGCTGCTGATGATGCGGATTCCGATGTTAATGCTGGTGGTGGGGATGAGGAGGAGGATGATGATGATGACGACGATGACGATGGTGGTGGCGTTGATGATGATGGTGATGATGATGATGACGCTGTCGCTGGTGATCCTGCTGCTGCTGTTGCTGCTGCTGATGATGATGGTGATGCTGATAATTTTGATGATGATGTTGATGATGACGATGATGATGATGATGTTGATAATGATGATGATGCTGATGATGGTAAGGAGGAAGCTGGTGGTGGTGGGGTGATGGTGATGATGAGGAGGATCGATTTGGAGGATCGGTAATGAGGATCGAGGAGACGGATCGAGGATGGGAAGAGGAGGAGGAGGAGGAGGAGGAGGAGGAGAAGGAGTAGGAGGAGGAGGAGGAGGAGGACGAGGAGGAGGAGGGGGCGGGGGAGGGGGAGGAGGAGGCTTCCGGTAACCTCAGGAGGCCTCCAGGAACTGCCAGAGGAGATCGGCGTCGTCGTCCTCGTCGCCCTCGCCATCGCCCTCGCCCTCGCCCTCGCCCTCGTAGTCGCGGTCATCGTAGTCGTGGTCATCATCGTCGAGGTCCTCGTCGGCGTGGTCCATGTCGGCGTGGTCGTGGTCGTCGTCGTCGTGGTCGTGGTCGTGGTCGTCGGCGAAGTCATTGCCGTTGTGATTGTCCTCCCTCCTAGTCGTCTTCCTCCTCCGTCCTCTTCTTATCATCATCCTCTTTCCTCCTCCTCACCCTCCTCCTCTTCTTGTCCTCGTCCCACTCGCGCGCGGGAGCATGCTCGGAGGAGGACGAGGACCAGTGTAAACCCAAGACGCGTAAACGATGTTGCAGTAAACCCTCTCTCCAAGGTCCATTTTCATAGGATCCGACCTTTTCTTCATTACGGGAAATGCCCGATTGAAAGACAACCGCCTCAGAGTTGTGGACTTCAGCATTTAAAATCAGCATGATTCTTGCGTCCTCACAGTCCTAAATCGTGTCATGACACCATTCATGGGACTTCAATACCGCGAACCAACGTGACTGTTGCATTCTGGCCGTCGTGAATCGTGCCAGAACGCCGTTCCTGGGACTTCAACCATGTGAATCCTTGAAGCTGTTGCAGAATTTGACAATAATGTGCGCGGCGCTAGAGCAAGAGCCACATTTAGAAGGAGCCGCCCTCCATCCTTGAACACGTTGTAATTCTTTAGCGCAAATGTGCGCGGCGTTCAGGCGCGAGCCACATTTTGGAAAACGACCCACCCTCCGTCTTTGAAGCTGCTGCAGTTTTCAAACTTCAGGATCATACATGTTGGGGATGTCTCATGCGAAAAGCCCGGCCCGCCCTACCGACACGTTCGGGGATGCGACAGGGAGGAATTAGTCATAAGGAACGGGGATGGACGAGGAGGAAAAGAAGGAGGAGGAGGAGTGAGGGAAGGAGGAGGAGGGAAGAGGAGGGAGGAGGAGGGAAGGAACGTGGAGGAGGACGAGAGAGGAAGGCAGAGGGAGGAGGAGAAGGAGGAGGGGGAGGCAGAAGGATAGGGTATGGGGGCTGGCTGCGAGGCGCCTACTGGGCGCGCCTCGTGAAGCCGTGCGGAAGGAAGGAATGAAGGAAGGAAGGAAAAGGTGCAGAAGGAAAAGGAAGACATATGGGTGTGGGAGCCCACGTGGTGAAACCAGAGAGGTTGTCGGTCAAGTTTTTCTGCTAACGCGGGGGCTGTGCTGTCGCGCCCAGTCGGACGCGCGGCAAAGCGAATGTCTTTCAGATCGTCTCGGCACAAGCGGCGCAAAGCTGCTGTGAGGCTGCTGTCGGCTGACGGCTTCGGCCCGGCATGCAGGCACGCGGGCGGGCGGGGGACGGCCGGAGAGCGAGGGAGACGGCCCGGAAGGCACCAGGGCAGGGAGCCATGGCGACAGGGAGGTCGGAGGGCAGGTGGGGATAGGGGGGGGGGGCAGGGAGGCAGAGTGAGAGGACCTCCTCCTCCTCCTCCTCCTCCTGCTCCTCTTTGCTTCTTCTCCCTGGGACGACGCCTTCGTCCTGCTCCCCGTCTGCACGGAGATGACGACCTCCTCGTCATCCTGCGCGTACGAGGGAGGAGGAGAAGGAGGAGGAGGAGGAGGAGGAGGAGGAGGAGCAGGAAGGGGGAGGGAGGCCTCACAGCTCAGCAGCTGTCTGAACAGGCTGAGCGCCTCCGCGTGGAGGATGAGGGGAAGCGGGCGCCCAAGGTGCGGCCCCCGTCCTGACCCTCCCTCTTTTCTGTCCTCCTGCGGGTGGCGAAGGTGGCTGGCGCTCCGTGGAGCGGCACCCCGCGGGAGGTTTCTTTGTTGGGCCGGGGTGGGTCACCGACCTCCTCCGCCATGAGAAATAGAAATATGAGGTGATGAAGAGGGAGGGGAGCTACGGCCGGGAGGAAGGGGGAGGAAGCAGGAGGGGGAGGAGGCTCAGGAGGAGGAGGAGGATCAGGAGGACCACAGTAAGACCAAGACGCATCAACGATGCTGCAATACATCCTTCTGTCCCAAGGCCCCTCCTTTCGGGCGATCACAGCCGTGAATCAAGGGGGCGTGGATTGGCCACGGGCCCCGCTTCCATGGGAAATCGCAGCTTCGCGGCGCCGAGCGAGACGGCACCGGCAGCATTTTGGGGAGGGCACCTCCCCGGATCCACGAGTCTGGCGACCGCGCGCAGAGTCCACGGGCTGCTGATCCAGGCTTGCGCGCCCCCGATCCTCACGGGCCCCTGCAGGCAGGTCCCCAGTCTGACGCACGGGCGCCCCGTGGGCCTGCTGCCGCTCGGGCGGAACCCGCTTTTCGTGAAGGGCCGACCTTCCGGCCTTCCAGCTTTGAGTTGGGTTCTGTCCCTCTGCAGGAGGAGTTTTCAGTAATAGTCAAAAAGCAGTCTGGGAACCATTTTTGGGGCACTTCTTGACCATTTTGGAACATGTTTTGGCTATTTTTCATTTGCTCTCCAAAATCCCCCTGTAGGAGGACAGGCCCGACGTAATTCCAGCTGGAAGACACGGTAGGAACGAGGGGGTGCCCAGCGATAGTCCCGTTTTGAAGAGGTCTGCCTTCCATCCGTAGAGGCGTTGCGCAATTTCAAGGCGCATTCAAGCGAGGGCACCGTTTTTGAGAAGGGGCCGCCCTCCATCTGTGCAGTTGGTGCACAAGTTTGGTTTTCGGTTCGGTTGATTTAGTCACCCCCGTGTGCCTTTTGCCATGCACAGCAAAACCTCTGTAGCTGCGAGTTGGCTCAAGGAGAAAAGCGCGTGCGCCCGCCCGTCCTTCGGCTGGCTGGTCCTCCCTCCCAGCATCCTAAGTGTCAACCGAAGCTGAACGGACATTGTACACACCTACAGCCATAGCAACAAGGAGGACGCCACTTATCCACAAGATGAACTGGATCAAAAACATGCCACAGGAAGAATATCAAAAACAACAGCGATCACAATATGAACATGATCACAGGTTGCCTATGCATTGGGGCACGAAAGATCCCACATTAACGAAGCATTTGCAAAAGACGGATTACCATCCGAAAGTTATATATTCGACGAAAGTGGTACCACCAGACATGAAAACGATGCTTCGACCGTATGGGGATGATGTACGACCGAAAGAAGAATCACGCCACGGCTTGAGTGTGGCTGTTCCTGAAGCAGATTATGCCGACCACGTCGAGGAACCGAGCCAACGTCCTCCCTCCAATATCAGCTGGAACATATCCTACGATGATAAACCTCGTCCCGCCACTCCACGATCAAGGGCCTGACGCGTCCCGGCCGGTACGAAGAAGACGGAGAGGACCCTATGCCATTTGGTGATGACGGGGCGCTCGCGTACATGTACCGGGGTCCTTGCGGATTTGTCTCGCAAATATTCTTGGGAATCTTTTTCAAATTAAAATCCGACCCTCCATCCCTCCAAACTCCGCCGCAGGCGCCCATAATAATAATAATTTCAAATTGCGGCAGCACCCCCAAATTGGAAGCATACCCCCTGGATTTGCCCAGGACCCCCCAGGAATCTTAGGGGCCCTGACGGATTCTGATGGATTCTGCTGGTTTCTGGAGCCCCGTCCTGGAGGATTCCTCCCTGGACGCCCTCTTGGAGCCGTGTCGGGCCGTTTTGGGAAGCCGCTTGGGCCGTCTCGAGGCCATCTTAGGTCGTCTTGCGTCTTGGGCCGTCTTGAATCGGTCTTGGGCAATTTTGGCGGCCCTGGTGGCCTGTTTGGGCCAGGTGGCAGTCATCTTGGATTCCTCGGAGGGCGCCAGGGGCATGTCTCGGCGCCGCATTTTGGACACCATCTGGTATCTGGAATCCAGATGACTGCCACCTTGGATTCCTCGGAGGGTGCCGGGCCATGTCTCGGACATGGCCCGGCACCGTTCGGCGCCGCATGTCCGTACATGTTTCGGTGGCAGTCATCTTGGATTCTTCGAAGGCCGCCGTATGGAAAACGTATTGAGTGGCAATGTATCGCCTCATGTTGAGGCCCCAAAGGATTCCTTAGGGATTCCTGACGATTCCCAAGGGATCCCTCAGGATTCCCTTAGGATTCTTGATGAGCCCTTAAGGATTCCTAAGGATTCCCTAAGGATTCCTAGGGATGCCCTCGGGATTCCTCAGGATTCCCTTGGGATTCTTGTGGATGCCCTAGGGATTCCTAAGAATTCCTTAGAAATTCCTTAGGGATTCCCAAGGGATCCCCAAGGATTCCCAGAGTCTGCCCTTCGCAAGCCGCCCTTCACAGGCTTCCATAGGCTTCCCCCGATAGGCTGTCCCCCACCGGCAAATTCAGGGAAACCCTCCTTGCCACCCGCCCAGCCAAGAATAATTTACGTTGCGCGCCTCAAATTCACCCTCCATGCTAAAGCAGCAGGACCGCGCACGCCAAGAATAATATTTTGAAGCTTTTATTCTTCTTCGGAAATTTCAGGGTTACCTTGTAATTTCAAGCCCCAGGCCAGCCCCAGAAGAATAATATTGCATTTAATTTTGTTTCAGAACGTATTGAGATTCTTGGGAAATTCGAAGGTAACCCTCGAATTTCCCCCAAAACCCAAGAATAAGTAGCTAATCGATAGGGTTTAACGATAATCAGCGCCCCGTCATATTTGGTGACCAGCCTGATATCCCCATTAATCTCTAGGACGGCGAGCCCGACGTGGACTCGATTTCTCGATTTCATCGGAGGACAATTTCTCTCGCAGGTTGACGCCCAGACCCATCGTCTTCCGCCGCGATCGTCGACCACATGACGGGATAGGCGAGGCCTCTGGCCGTGCGTCCCCGGTTCATCTGGGCGACTTGCAACCCCATGCGCCGGTGCCGATTGCATCTGGCGAGGATGCCGCGATTCCATCCGATGATCTTTTGGAACGGAAATTGGAAGAGATCATTGGTGATGAATCCGTGGGCGGCCCTATTAGGACGACGAGCGAACGGAGACGTGAGCCTGGTAGCCTTTCGACAACGTCGCCACTTGGTGGTAAGTGCAGCTGATCCGGCGGCACCCCAGAGCACGACCCTGCGTCTGGTCCGGGGGGGGCCCAGGAGCTATGCCCCCGGGTCCCCGCCGCGTTCTTCCCTGATGAATGGTAGAACATCGACCTCGCTGTCTGGGGCGCCTGAACTACCGCTCTCCTCGCGCGAGGGGTGCCGAGAGGGGCGGACCCAGGGCCCCTAGACCGCGATCTGAGGTGTCCGACCTGTCCAACCTGTCGGGTAGGTCGAGTGCGTTCAGCATGCGCATGAGCGCCACGTGCGCAAACTATGGACTGCGATGCGCCGTCGTTCCTGAGTCGCGGTGCCCTGATTCGTCGGGCCAGTGTAAGCAGCCTGACTGTTGCGAGTGCTCGGACATCTGCGGCCTGTGTAACCGAGACCTCTCATGTCCAACGTGTGCCGCCACGACTGCGCACAACTGCGCTGGGTGGCGCGTGATTGCGTGGCGCGAAGCTGAGGAAAGCGAGACGTTTGCGGTTATAGAGATCAGAAAGAGAGATCTCGCGGAAATGCGCGAGCAGCTTAGACAGTCGTAGTTGCAACAACAAGCGGCTGCCGCCCCCCAGTTGGAGCGAGACCAACAGGCGATGGCGAATGCCGCGCGCGGCCTGACGGGGCGCCAACAAGAGGCGACAGCCAAGCAGGCTTCTGCAGCAACGGCGGAAATGAGACAGCTTGCCGACAGGCTGGATATCACAGTTGCCTCCGAGCGCCATGGGCACCTCCGGGAAAAACACCTTGCAAAGGAAGAGAGGCGCGCCGTCCGGGGGGCCGGCGAAGCTCAGCGTACGACTATGTCGCAGACGGCCCAGGAGTTATTAGCATCAGAGGATCGGGGTGCACGGTTAGCCGCGGAGGCTGCCGCTGCTGTCGCACAGGCCGAGACGGATCGCGCCGTCGCGAGTGAGAGCTATGCTTGTTCCGCGGTTGAGATGCTACGCGCTCGTGAGGAGATGCGACGAATCGAAGTGAACGCTGAGGAGAAAGTCGCTGCGAGTGCTCGCGAAGCAGAACACAAGGCCGTCCAAATGGTGAAGGGCCGGGAAGCTGAACGGGACAATTTGCATGGTAAACTCAGTGAGCATCAGATGCAGTGGACCCCGACTGGGGTGCCCTCAGCAACGTTATATGAGACCGGGTCAGCAGCGAACTCGAGCGCGGCAGCAGTGCCCACTGCCCCACCATCAGCACTAATAGCGGTTGGGAGACTAGCGTCGCAAGAGAACTCGAGACGCAGCCCCTACGCAGGAGCCCTGTGGTGTTACTTATGTTCCAAGATGGTTGCTCGCGACTGTACTTCGTGCATCACAGGCATCTGCGGCGAGCGCTTCGTGCTGGATGGCGAGACGCGCGCGCGCCGCTGCGGGAATATTCAACCGTCAGAAACAACGAACCTGACGGAATATTTCGGGAGAGAGAGAGAGAGAGAGAGAGAGAGAGAGAGAGAGAACGAGAGGAACGCCAGGCGAGGAATAAACTTCAGGAGCGGGATGCCGCTGCGCCCGCGCCGAGGGACAGCTCTCGCGATCGATTACTTCGGCCCGCGAGCGCCCGTGACCATGCTTCAGGGGATGATGAGCGTCGGACCGAGAGCATTGAATCGATTTGTAGGGAAGTGTCCGGTGAAACGCCGGGCCCGCCATAACGACACGTCTGGTGATGCGACAGGGAGGAGTTATCTATGAGGATGGGGGGGGGGGCAAGCTAGGTGCGCAAGTGTCTTAACAGACGATTTGCACCTTTTCCTCCAATCTCTTACCATGGCGTAGATATTCTCTCTATTCGCAAAGTCGGATGTCGCAGCGTGGCATATGTAGCATTCCATGGCGTAGCATGGCATTGAATATCAACGCGTAGCATGACACAGCATGGCGTGACACTGCGTAGTCAAGTACTGCATATCACAGCATTGCAGCTGAAGGCATGGCATCGCACAGCGGAGCGCACCATAGCATTGCGTTGCGTGCCATGGCATGGCGCTGGAAATGAGGCTAGCGCTGCGGCGGGAGCACGATTCGGAACGAGCAGAAGCGCGGAAATGAGGCCAGCGCTGCAACGGGAGCGCGATTCGGAACGAGCGGAAACGCGGAAATGAGGTCAGCGACGCAGTGGGAGCACGATTCGGAACGGGCGGAAGCCCGAAAATGAGGCCAACCGTGTAGCGGGAGCAACATTTTGAAGGACCCGAAAAAAACGGATGTGTAAAAACACGTACGAAAGACCAGCTCGCTGGAAGTCTGTGTGTAAAGAACAGTACGCGGAGGGAGGCAGAGTCAGGGGAGAGAAGGGAGTAGTATTCGTAGTGTGTAATTGTGAAGAGGAGGAGGACGAGGGGGGAGGAGGAAGAGGAGGAGGAGGAGGAGGAGGAGGAGGAGGAGGGAGAGGAGGAGAACGACGATCACCACGACGATGACGTCGCCAACAAGCGGGCCCTGCCCAGCCGCGGCGAGGTGCTGAAACGTCCACGGGCGGCGCCGACGCTGGCGTCCAGGGCCGCCTGACGGTGACCTCCAGCCCGTTTCGCGACATCCGTCTGAAGGACCTTGGGGTCGGGCCTCCTTCCTAGATCATGCCTCCCTCCTCCTCCTCCTGCTTTTCCTTCTCATCCTCCCTCCTCCATGCCCCCTCCCAATTAATAAGAACAGCGCAATGGGCATGGACGGGGGGGAGGGGCAGGATGTCAGATATGGCACGAGCGCACCTAGCTTGCCTCTCCCCCTTATCCCTCCTCCTCCTCCTCCTCCTCCTCCTCCTCCTCCTCCTCCTCCCTCCTCCCCCTCCTCCTCCTCCTCCTCCTCCTCCTCCTCCTCCTCCTCCTCCTCCTCCCCCCGCGCAAGCTGGGGGCCCGGTGAGCACATCGGGATAGCCGGGGAGCCCCTGCCAGCGGAGCTGGTGGTCGGTGCTGCTTGTATCGGCAGGGTAGAAAATGAACCAGCGACCATCCGCAGGATAGGCGGAGGGTGGAGGGGGGGCTTGGGCGCCCAGGCCCCCTGGGGGTCCCTCCCCTGGGAGGGGGTGGTGCATCGGGCGGTTCGGGCTCGGGATGCCCCAAGTGGCCAGGCCCACCTGGCTCGGGGTCATTGGGCTCGTCCTGGTGTCCCTCCTCTTCCTGGGGTCCCCTCGGGGGGCGGGCTGGAGATCAAGCCCAAGCTTGCGACGCGCGCCCGCAGGGTCCACTGGACCGCATTGCGGCGGCACCCCTCGGCTGATCCGAGGGCGCGGCGAGGTGCAGGAAGCGGGGGCCCGACTGCTGGCGCGGGAGGCCCCTGGCCCCCAGGGCAGCGTGGCTGCGCGGCGCTTCCGGTGCGGCCACGTCACGCCCTGGGGTCTTTTGGCCTTGGCTGCCCTACTAGGGGGGCTGCTTAGGCCTGCTGGGGGTCCCTGCGGCGCGGGGCCTTCCATTACGTGGCTGAGTTTTTGTTCGCGGGGCCTCCCCTCGAGCAGTGCGGCCCCGCAAGCCTCAAGGCTCCATTGTGTTCGAAGAGCTGCGGGCGTCCTCTCCGCATAATCCTGCACCGTATTCCTCCTCCTCCTTTTCCTCCTCCTCCTCCGCCTCCTCCTCCTCCTTGGCCTCCCGCGGCATGAAATAATGCGGCCCTCTTTCTGGCACTATCTTCTGCGTATATGTGGGCCCGATATTGCGTAGTAGGTTGAAGAGGGCGCGAGGAGGAGCAGGAGGAAGAGGATGATGAGGAGGAGGAGGAGGACGACGAGGAGAAGAAGGAGGAAAAGGAGGAGGAGGAGGAGATTGTGTGGAGGAGGAGGAGGAGGGAGGAGGAGGAGGAGGAGGAGGAGGAGGAGGAGGAGGAGGAGGAGGCGTGAGGAGTTGGAGGAGGAACATGAGGGGGAGGAGGAGGCGTGAGGAGGAGGAGGAGGAGGAGGAGGAAGAGGAGGAGGAGGAGAGGAGGAGGAGGAGGAGGAGGAGGAGGAGGAGAGGAGAGGAGAGGACAGGAGAGGAGAGGAGAGGAGAGAATGAGGACGAGGAGTAGGAGGACCAGGAGGAGGAGGCGGAGGAGGAGGAGGTCAGAGAGGGATGGAAGACGGCGGTGGACAGAAGTGTCCGCCCTTTTGCTGTCCTTTCCTTGAGGAGCCAGGGGGCGCTGATGTAGCAAAGACGTCCTCTTGAGGAGGGACGATGTACGAGCTACCATTTCACCTTGATGCATGTCTCCCGCACGCGCACTTTCCAAGCTATTCGGAGACGAAACGGGGAGGCGCGAGGAGGAGAAGGAGGAGGAGGAGGAGGAGGAGGCAGAGGAGGAGGAGAAGGAGGTGGAGGAGGGGGGATGATGAGGAGGAGGGTGGAGGGGGAGGAGGAGGAGGAGGGGAGGAGGAGGAGGAGGAGGAGGAGGAGGAGGAGGAGGAGGAGGAGGAGGAGGAGGAGGAGAGGAGGAGGAGGAGGAGGAGGAGGAGGAGGAGGAGGAGGAGGAGGAAGAGGATATTGGGAGGAGGGGGAGGAGGAGAAGGAGGAGGAGGAGGAGGAGGATGAAGAGGAGGGGGAGGAGGAGGGGAAGGAGCAGGAGGAAAAGGAGGAGGGAGGAGGAGGATCAGGAGGAGGAGGAGGATGAGGAGGAGATTGTGTTCAGGAGGAGGAGGCGGAGGAGAGGCGGAGGAGGAGGAGGAGGAGGGGGGGGAGGAGGAGGAGGAGGAGGGGAGGAGGAGGAGGAGGAGGAGGAGGAGGAGGAGGAGGAGGCGGAGTCGGAGGCGGAGGAGGAGGAGGAGGAGGAGGAGGAGGAGGAGGAGGAGGAGGAGGAGGACGAGGAGGAGGAGGAGGGGGGCGTGAAAGCGAGAGTGCTGGATAGCCCAGCGTTTGCCCCTCGTCTCACTTGTTTCTTATCCGTAAGCATTGCGGTTCCCAGGGCCCTTGAGTCCCAGGCGACATACGGGACATATCAGCGCGTATCTCAGAAGTTGCATCTTCACATTGGTAGCAGGAGCTGTTCGACCCACGGACACGCCTTCGCAGCATCGAAGAGAAGCCGCTCGTAGCATCGAGAGAAGCAGCTCGCGGCATCGAGTTCGGCGGACAGACCGCCACACATTAACAAGTACGAGGCGGGAGATCTACAGGGATATCTACAGCAGGACCGGCAAGGATGGCGCCCAAGGTGGACCCGTCCGACGAAGCAGCAGAAGGTGAGGAAGGACGTACCCAGCAGCAGGGAGGACCACGCTTTCCAGCTCCCGCCTTCGACCCACAGACGACGACGATGAAGGATTACAGGAGGCGAGTGGCGATATTCAAGATAAGGACCAGACTGCCCCTTGAGAGGCAGGCCGCGGAGCTCTACGCAGAACTGAAGTGCGACGCCTGGATTCATGCAGAGGACCTCGACCCGACGGAGCTTCATAATGACGAAGGGGTCCAAGTGCTGCTCGACTTCCTAGCATATAAGTTCGACGACGAGAAGGTGATGGAGCTTGGGTCCGAGCTCAAGACTTTCTTCACTCGCATGCGCCGCGACAGCGGCGAAGAGATCAGGGCTTTCATCAACCGCTTCGACACGCAGGCTTCGAGACTTAAGACAATGCAGATCGAGATCCCAGATCAGGAGCTGGCGTGGTTGTTCATGTGGTGGCTTGGCCTGCCGCCAGATCGAGAAGCTGGAGTGCTGAACGCCAATCAGAATAAATACGAGCTCAAGCCTTTACAGAAGCAAACGTTGCTTAACATGAAGGACGCCAAAGCACTGGACATGCGCAACCCCCGGATGCCAGCACCCATGACACCACTCGCGCCCAGAGGTCCACCAGCACGACCTCGACGATGGGGCGCTCACATCACCGAGAACGACGAAGGGGAGGATCTCGAGGTGTACGGGACCCAGGTGGACGACGATGACCTGCCGGAGGAGTTACTTGAGGAGCACGAGGAAGCGGAGGCTGAAGTTTACAAGTTGGAGAACATGCTCGCCCGAGCGAAGGACAAGCAAAACTACGCCAAGCAAGCTGGAGGATTTGATCATAGAGATCGGCCACCTGGGCGCGGACCTGGTAAAGGACCTGGCGGAAAAGGCAGTCCTGGATGCGGCAAGGGGCCGGGCGGCAAGGGCTCGGACCGCATCAAGAAGCTAAAGGCGAGGACTCACTGCGCAGTGTGCCAGAAGCTGGGTCACTGGAAGGGCGACCCCGAGTGTACAGGAGCGCCAAGTAAGGCGCACATGACGACTGCCGACGACCATGGCGATGACGACCAGGGGTCAGAGCAGTATCTCACGAGCTGGAGCAGCAGGGAGAAGCAGATCGAGAAGTAGACGTTCTTCATCAACGACCACGTGCTGATGACCGGCACGGGCAGCGTGAACGTTATCATGGCTACGAAAGAGGAGCTGCCGCAGCAGTGCGGCGGCAAACTGCTACCAGACTCGTGCTGCGCCAAGTCCGTTGGAGGACAGGTTTGGCATGGCGACATCAAGAAGCGGCTCGCGAGGGCGGGCCTCAAGCCGATCGCGCTTGACGAACATGAAGTTTTCAGGTTCGGCGCTGGGAAGCCAGTCATGGGCGCGATTGGAGCGCTGGTGCCGCTCGCAGCGCGCGGACGTCCCTTCGCGCTAAGAATGCCCATCGCGCCGCGCCTGGCCCCCGCGCTGCTGTCACAGAAGGCTCTTGGTAAGCTGGGGGCAGTGCGCGACCATGAGGTGGAGGCTGGCGAGGGCGCCATGACGTTCAAGAAGCTGGGAGTCTCCAACCTCGAGCTCGGGCAGACCAAGAGCGGACATCCGAGTTTCGATGTGCTGGAGTTCGACGGGGCTCACATTTCCACCATGGCTCCAGACCTGAGCCCCAGCCAGACAGAGATCAGGCTGCTTCCGCCATCAGCGCTGGTGGAAAGAACTCGAGCGGAGCCCCCATCATCATCGCTCGCAGGATCATCGCGCTATGGAGGCCTCCCAAGAACAGGTACGAGATATTCCTAGTGGGCCTCCAACGGGACCCCAAGGGGCCCCGCGCCAACCACGTCAAGAGCGACCCGAATCACGAGGAGCCAAGCTTCAACATCATGAGGGATCCGAATCAGCACGAGCTAAACTTCAACGGCTGCGAGAGCGATCCGAATCACTGCGAACTAAACTTCAGAAAGCCTCAGGAGCACCCCAACGAGAACCCTGCACGGACCAGTCTCGGAAACGGATAAGCGTGCCGAAGTACAGATGCCTATGCAACAGCAGCGAGCACCGGCACCAGCGAAATGAGTGCGATTCCACATAACGGACGATGGTGAAACAGTTCGGCCCCAGCCAAATATGGTTCAAACCGTTTCGGGTGATTCTCAAGATCAGTGTTTCCATTCGTGCGCGGATGCCTCTCAGCGTGCTGGGATGGATCCAGGGTTGGGACATCCTCGATGTCAGCGCCAACAAGAAGTGCAACACCGTAGCGCCGATGCGCTGGAAGCAGATTTTTCAAGCTGGTGTTCTTAGCCATCGCGATGACCAGGCACCCGACGGTGGCCATCATCTTCCACAACGGGCGCCGCCACGGCCAGGAGGAGATCCTCTGGAGGCAGGCCGAGGCACCAGCACCCAGACGACTACTACCACTGGGGACTACGGTCAAGGTGGAGTTGCAGGAGGAGATGAAGAGCAACGGGCTGGAGTTCCAAGGCCTGGGCTGCAGAGAGATGCGCGTGATCCTCAGCGAGCAACGGATCGAGAACGGCCAGAGCCGCAGAGGAGCTCGAGCTGCAGATCCAGACCTCCGAGGACTCGCCAAGAAGTCACGAGCAGAGTTGGTCTAGCTGGCCAGGAAACGCAACGTGAAAGTGACCGACGACATGCTCAAAGACAAAAGCGTGTGTTTGTAGCTGGGACAGACACCGAGAGCAGTCAAGAAGGAAGAGACCAAGGACGAGGTACCGCTGCTTACGACTTCGAAGGTTGCTTCAGCGACCAGGAGTGCCTCCTTGGCCTGTCGGAGCTCAGGAAGGGAGCAACGAGCAAGACCAGTGGGGCCACAGCCCTCGGAAGATTCAGAGAGCGACGAACCGCCAACCAGGAGAAGGAGCTCATCGATCAGCGACATGGTTACTGCAGCAGAATACATCGGCGCAGAGGAGGACCAGACTTGGGAGATGATAGTTCCGAAGGGGCAGGAAACAGTAAAAGAAAAGCGCGAGGTGAAGCCGGGGCAGATCAAGCGCTACAAGGACATGATCAAGGATACCGTCAGCTTCCTGACGTGGCAGACCACGATCCTTGGCACCTTGCTGGCGAAGCCGCTCTCCTCGGTAGGCAAGGCTATCGTGCAGGATCTCTGCGACGTGTTCAACGTTAAGACCGACCCGAGCTACGACTTGATGCAGATCTTCGCAGGTGAGGCCGTCGTCTCAGAGGAGTTCAGTCGAGCCGGACTCAAGGTGTGCGAGCCCATTGATCAGATCTACAACTACAACCTGCGAAGCGCCCAAGGTCGGCAAGAGATTCTACAGCTCTACCGCACATGCAGGCCGAAGCTCCTAAAGTTGGAGCATCCCTGCGCACTCTGGACGCAACTTACCAGGGTGAACTATCGAGGCGAAGCTAAACATCAACAACTACGTCGCCAGCGTCTTCGAGATCGTCCCCTACTAGACTTCGTGGAGGAGATCGGTATGATGCAGCTGAACAGCAAGCGAGACATCCTGTTCGAAAATCTCTCGACGTCGGAGGTATTCGAGCAGTCCCAGATCAAGCGTTTAAAGGAACATCCCCGGGTGAAAGATGTGAAGGTCGACATGTGCCAGTTCAACCTACGACGCCAGCAGTCTAATGGAATGGTCAAGAAGCCGACGAAGCTCTTGGTCTCTAATGACTCCTACGTCAAGCGGCTGAGCAGGCAATGCGACGGACGTCACCCGCATCACCAACTGGAAGGAGCTCACTACACACGCAAGGCAGGACGATACACCAGAGAGTTCGCGAAGGCAGTCTTGCAGGCGTACCAGCACAGCAACATGAACTACATGATGGAGAACGGAGTCTACGCGACCGGCGACTTGATGGATCCCATGGGTGGCGAATCGGACGAGTGGTTCTACTACGAGAACGTGGGCGACTTCACCGAGATACCTGTCAAGTTGCCAGATGGACCTGACTGGAGCCGCGCAGGCAGAAGAAGGGTCGTAGACGTCGAGACCGACACGGTGGTGCAGGACTTCGAGAAGGCCGATGTCACCACGGATTTGATCAAGCCGAAGTTGGATCGCACTGCCAAGCTGAATATTCAGCCATGGTACAAGCCAGAACCTGTTGCAGAGGACATCGGAGCCAAGGCCGTCCAGTTTGGACCTGGAAGTTCAGAGTGCTCAAGCAAGGACCTCGCAGCTCTACGACAACTTGACCAGAACTTGGGCCACCCCAGCAACGAGGATCTTGCCATATCGTTGAGATTTTCAGGATGCAGACCAGAGGTAGTGAAGGCCGCGAAGTCACTACGATGCGCGACGTGCATGAGCAAGGTACGGAAGAAAATCGCGAGACCAGCTAGACTTTCCCACGCAGCCGACTTCAATGAACAGATTGGTTTGGATTGTTTCACGATCAAGGATGTTGACGGTCAGTCATGGGATTTCTTTATCGGTGGTGGATTTAGGTACGACGTTTCACGTTGTGGGCATGATTGAAAGTCATCATTCGCAAGTCCTGGTTAAGGTGTTCACTCAGATATGGACAAGCTTAGCAGGACCACCAGCAAGTGCAGTCGTGGATTTGGAGCGTGGATTTGGTTCGGTCTTTCAGGATATGCTTGATAAGTTCCATTGCGCGGTCGTTCCAGTGGCCGGTCAGGCAGCGTGGCAACACGGACGGACTGAACGCCAAGGAGGTTGGTGGAAGGAGTTGGCCGAGAGAACCATTTCGCACACCGCGGCCTCAGGTGAGTCCGACATGCGCATCATCGCTTCCGTGGTCACGGTTGCCAAGAATGCACTACGACGTCAATGTGGTTTCAGTCCAGAACAGTGGGTTTTCGGCAAGAGCGCGCGACTACCAGCTGATCTAGTGGACGGAGCTCACCATGACGCAGCGCATGCAGGAGCCGAACTACAACCGATGGAACGACAGCTTAAGATGCGGACCGCCGCCCGCAAGGCTTTCATGGAAATGCAGAACGATATCACGCTACGCAAGGCACTACTGGGCCGTGCCCGCGTGCACCCCCATCCGCTTGAGCAAGGTGACTTTTGTTTCTACTACCGCCAGCTCAAGAAGGGCTCGATCAAGAAGGGCACCTGGTTGGGACCAGCAGTGATCCTGGGGAAACAAGGCCAGAACTACTGGATACCGCACGGTGGTTTCACCAAGCTCGTAGCCCCAGAGCACATTCGGCCAGTTACTACTGAAGAAGTCTGGTGGCCGGGAATAGACGATCAGCATGGAGAGGCCCTCGACCAGCTTCAGCGACTAAGCCGCGACACAGACGCCAGCGCCGACATGGAGTACGAAGATCTTCGAGGAGAACAACCACCGCCAGCAGCATAATAATAACAAGTTGTGGAGACGGAGGCGGATGCTGCAGGAGCCCCCGCCGAGGATGCATCAGGAGTTAGTGATGATGTTGAGCTCTCACCTGCAGAGGAGCTCCCATCTGGTCAAGCTGACGCACCCTCATTATCGCCTACCCCGATTTCAACACAGGCACCCGGACAAGTACAGGACAACCCTGTACCCAACTACGAGGACTGGAACCGCGAGGAGTTTCAGCGACGCCGAGCAGTCTACAGCCCCCTCGATGACGTACCGCATTGCATTCGAGGGAGTCCACAACAAGAAGAAGCTGCCCACCGCATCGCTGGACGACAAGCCGCTCGACAAGCGGGGCAGCCTTACATCGCCAGCATCACCGATGACAGCGACCAGGGTACTACCACCAACTCCAGCTTCGCAGTAATGCTTCGTGGAGCTCGAGCTCAGAGCGAAAGGCTCAGAAAGAAGCTTCAAGACAAAGAGATCGCTTGGAAGGACATCCCCGAGGAACACAAGCCACTCTACCGAAAAGCCATCGCCGAGCACTGGGAGGAATGGAAGAAGTTTGGTTCCGTGAAGGCGCTTTCACTGGAGGAATCTCAACAATCCCGGACCGAGAATGACAGCAACCGCTTCCTGCGGTCTCGCTTCGTGTTCCATGACAAGAATTTCAATATCCGCACCGAAGCTAAACCCGTGCCGGTGAAGGCCAAGGCTCGACTATGTGCTGGAGGACATCGTGATCCAGATCTACAGACAGGAGCTCTACGGACAGACGCTCCTACAGTGACGCGAACCAGTTCGCTACTGTTCTTTATCATGGCGGCGCGTTTCGACTGGAGCCCAGTGCGCGCCGACATCATGTCCGCGTTCATGCAGGGAAAAGAGCAGCCCAGAGACAAACCTCTTTTCGTGGAGCAGCCGCCCCAAGGTCTACCAGAACTTCAACCAGGACACGCATTACGCATTGTCAAGGGCATTTTTGGACTGGCGACTGCCCCGCGGAAGTGGTGGGCTACTCTCAAGAACGCACTGCGTAAGGTTGATCTCGTGAGCAAGGATGGCCACAAGTTCCACTTAGTTCAAAGCTTGGTGCATCCAGCTTTATTTGTGGGACATGGTTCAGACGGAACTCTGCAAGCTATTGTCTGTGACCACGTGGATGATTTACTGATTGCTTCCAGTACTCAAGCCAGCTATGGTATAATCAAGAAGCTGTTTCCGTTCGGAGGTTGGCAAGGGCTAGATTTCACCTTTTGCGCCAAGGATGTTGTCCAGCGTTCATACGGAGCAGTTCGAATGAGCCAGTCAGTATTCGCCGAGAGGCTAGAACCACTCGAGTTGACCTATGAGCGCAAACGAGATCTAGGATGCCCTGCCACTGAGATCGAGATCGCCGAGAACCGGAGCTTGATTGGCAGTTTGGGTTGGCTCGCTACGCAAACTCGACCAGACCTAGCTGCGGGAGTTTCGATGGCTCAGAGAGTGCAGAACTCGCCGACGGTGGCCGACCTGATCGAGGCGAATCGCATCGTATCCGAGGCCAAGCGTTACAATGAGACCGCCATCGCGATCCCGAAGTTGCAGGGCGAGCTCTGCATTCTAGTGTTCCATGACGCTGCGTGGGCCAACGTGGACGAGCCAGACGACAAGGTAGCCGGCACCGCCTGGTGGTGTCGACGCCGCATGCGCCCCGCCTACGCTTCGGAGGCTCCGAAGAGGCTCAAGGCTAAGAGCCGGGCGGGATTTCTACGATTCGTGGCCGAAAAGAGGATCATCCAGGACGGAGAAGGCAAGGCAGCTTTGGTTGATTGGAGGTCAGCTACAAGTCGAAGGGTATGCCGAAGCACATTTGCAGCAGAGACTATGAGTGCAGTGGATGCTATGGTAGCAGCTATTGTTATGCGCGCTTCAGTTCTTAATATTTTATTTCCGAAGATGAGTATCGACAGCATCGATCCTACTTTATGCCCGGTTCAGTGTGTAACGGACTGTGCTTCTTTATATGATACAATTCACCGGGAAGGAGCTGTTAAACTTCCAGCTGAGCGTAGATTGGTTTTGGATTTGATCGGACTGCGAGAACTAATGGAGGACGAAGTTGTGGAAGAAGTTGCCGCAGCTACTAAATCCAAGTTGCCTTTGGCCTGGTGTCCTACTAAATATATGCTAGCCGATGCGCTACCTAACCGAATGGATGGATCGCAGATCAGGAAGTCGATGGATGGAGTTATCATGTATCACCAAGACACCCCGCCTAAGAGCGACCACGACTCGAATGCGATGTTGAGTGCGTGGGCGACCGACTGGGAATACATGGTTTGATGTATTCTTGCAGTGGACAGATATTGATAACGTGAGCCTACTATCCCTTTTTCCATATTACGAAGCCCATCGGCTGTCTGCTTATTGTTCCTTTGCAAACTGTTTGCGCTGATGTCTGTTGTTTCTGAGACGGCGGATTTCGCCCGCTGCGGGACCTGGGAGTTTTGATGTTTAGCACGTTGCCGTGCCCTCCGTGTTTGTGCTTCTTGATCGACAAGGTGCAACATAATTTTAGAACCAGTGTGAAAGCGAGAGCGCAGGATAGCCCAGCGTTTGCCCCTCGTCTCACTTGTTTCTTATCCGTAAACATTGCGGCTCCCAGGGCCCTTGAGTCTCAGGCGACATACGGAAAATATCAGCGCCTATCTCAGAAACTGCATCTTCACAGGGGGGGAGGAGGAGGAGGAGGAGGAGGAGGAGGAGGAGGAGGAGGAGGAGGATGAGGGGGAGGGGGAGGAGGAGGAGGAGGAGGAGGAGGAGGAGGAGGAGGAGGAAGGAGGAGGAGGAGGAGGAGGAGGAGAGGAAAAGGAGGCGTGAAGAGGAAGAGGAGGATGAAGAATATGAGGAAGAGGAGGCGTGAGGAGGAGAACACGGTGGGGGCATTCGTTCAGGAATGTGCCCAGGATGCTGCAGACCTTGGAGGATTCCTTTGCTGATGAGGGCGGCGGTGATATGCATGGCCGATCCCCGATTGGAGTTCCACCGGCTTCGAAGCCCTGGTATTCTTAGCTAATGGTTCTTTGTCCAATGCCTCCACCGTCTTGGAAAGGACTCCTCATCCATTCGCGCAGCCATCGACAAGTTGGAGTCCGAGTATGCAAGGCGCCAGAGCGAAAGCCCCTTCTTGAAAACTACTTGCCCTCTATCTGTTGTTTGGTTATGGAAACCGATAGCGTGGGGCGCAAGCAAAGTGAGAGCCCAATTGTGAACACCGTTTGTGGTCCACGCGTCACCGCAATCTGAATTCATCTGCTCTTTGAGGCCTCTTGCGGCGACGAGGACGATGAAGATGAGGATGTGGATGCTGCTGCTGCTGCTGCTGGTAGCGACGAGGAGGAGGAGGAGGAGGAGGAGGAGGAGGAGGAGGAGAAGGAGGAGGAGGAGGAGGAGGAGGAGCAGGAGAGGAGGAGGAGGAGGAGGAGGAGGAGGAGGAGGAGGAGGAGGAGGAGGAGCAGGAGAGGAGGAACATGACGGGGAGAAGGAGGAGGAGGCGGAGGATGAGGAGGAGGATGTCAGAGAGGGATGGGGGACGGAGGTGAACATATGTGTCCGCCCTCTTGCTTTCCTTTCCTTGAGGTGCCAGGGGGTGCTGATGTAGCAAAGACGTCCTCTTAAGGATGGTCGATGCACGAGCTGCCATTTCACCTTGATGCATGTCTCCCGCACGCGCACTCTGCAAACTGCTCCGGAGACGAAACGGGGAGGCGCGAGGAGGAGGAGGAGGAGGAGGAGGAGGCAGAGGAGGAGGAGGAGGAGGAGGTGGAGGAGGAGGAGGAGGAGGAGGATACGGAGAAGAGGAGGAGGGAGGCGGAGGAGGAGGAGGCAGAGGAGGAGGAGGAGAAGGAGGAGGAGGAGGCGGAGGAGGGGGGGATGAGGTGGAGAGGAGGGCAAGGCGGAGGAGGAGGAGGATGATGATGATGATGATGAGGAGGGGAGGGGAGGAGGAGAGGAGGAGGGGGAGGATCAGGAGAAAGAGGATGAAGAGGAGGAAGAGGATAAGGATGAGGATGAGGATAAGGATGGGGACAAGGAGGGAGGAGGAGGAGGAGCAGACTGGGAGGAGGAGGAGGAAGAGGGAGGAGGAGGAGGAAGAGGAGGAGGAGGAGAGGAGTATGAGGGGGAGGAGGACGGGCAGGAGGAGGAGGGGACGAGGATGAGGATGAGGATGAGGAGGAGGAGAACGAGGACGAGGAGGAGGAGGAGGAGGAGGAGATTGTGCGGAGGAGGAGGAGGGGGAGAGGGAGGAGGAGGAGGAGGAGGGGGAGGAGGAGGAGGAAGAGGAGGAGGAGGAGGAGGAGGAGGAGGAGGAGGAGGAGTGAGGAGGAGGAGGAGGAGGAGGTGGAGGAGAGGAGGAGAACGAGGAGGAGGAGGAGGGGAGGAGGAGGAGGAAAAGGACGGGGAGGAGGAGGCGGAGGAGGAGGAGGATGTCCGAGAGGGATGGAGGATGGAGGTGGACATAAGTGTCCGCTCTCTTGCTTTCCTTTCCTTGAGGAGCCAGGGTGCGCTGATGTAGCAAAGACGTCCTCTTAAGGAGGGTCGATGCACGAGCTGCCATTTTACCTTGATGCATGTCTCCCGCACGCGCACTTTCCAAGCTGCTCCGGAGACGAAACGGGGAGGCGCGAGGAGGAGGAGGAGGAGGAGGAGGAGGAGGAGGAGGCAGGAGGAGGAGGAGGAGGAGAAGGAGGAGGAGGAGGCAGAGGAGGAGAGGCGGAGGAGAGAGGATGAGGCGGAGGAGGAGGAGGAGGAGGAGGAGGAGGTAGGAGGAGGAGGAGGGGAGGAGGAGGAGGAGGAGGAGGGGAGGAGGAGGGCGAGGAGGAGGAGGAGGAAGAGGAGAAGGAGGAGGAGGAGGATGAGGATGAGGAAGAGGAGGAGCAGGAGGAGGAGGAGGAGGAAGATTGGGAGGGGGAAGAAGGGAAGAGGAGGAGGAGGGGGAGGAGGAGGGGAAGGAGCGAGGGGGGGAAGGTCAGGAGGGGAAGAGGATGATGATGTTGTGATGATGATGATGATGATGATGCGGGTGATGATGATGAGGAGGAGGATTGTGATGGTGATGATGATGATCAGAGGAGGAGGAAGAGGAGGAGGAGGAGGAGGAGGAGGAGGGGGATGATGATGATGATGGTGAGGATGAGGATGAGGATGCTGATGATGATGAATATGCTGATGATGATGATGATGATGATGATGATGATGATGATGATGATGATGATGATGATGCTGATGCTGATGCTGATGGTGATGATGATGGTACTGATAATGATGATTATGATGATGATGCTGCTGATGATGATGATGATGAGGATCAGGATGAGGAGGATGATGATGACGATGACGATGATGATGATGACGATGATGATGATGATGCTGATGATGATAATGATGATCATCATGATGATGACGCTGATGATGATGATGATGATGATGATGATGATGATGCTTCTGTTGATGATGATGATGATGATGATGATGATGATGATGATGATGATGATCATGGTGGTGATGATGAGGATGATGCTGATGATTGATGATGATGATGATGATGATGATGATGCTGATGATGATGATGATGATGATGATGATGATGATGATGATGATGATGATGATGATGATGATGATGATGATGATGATGCTGATGCTGATGCTGATGCTGATGTTGATGCTGATGCTGATGCTGATGCTGATGCTGATGCTGATGATGTGGAGGAGGCGGA